TCTGCATCAGATGTCAGAACGAGTAAATGCCTCGGCTTCTGTTCAAAGTTTGATGTGGAAGAAGCACAAAATATACCTAAAATATTCTCAATTAAACACGGAAAACTAAGGATATCTTGGGCTCGTCGAAGATTTTATGCTTTGTAGAAATTCCTGTACTCTCACAAATCTGCGAAAGAGAGATTTGTGAGAGTACAGGAACCCAATTTTCGACCGATTATTCCTATGGAAGCTAATTGATCTAGAATATGGGGAGTATCTAGAATTATGGGGTAGAAGACGCCTACTTCCACATATCATGACAAAATTATAATAATCCTTACAAGGTTATAATAAATCTGAGATTGAGTACTGTATTTAAGACTAGTAGTCAGAAATATTGGAATAAAATAAAAATTCTTGATTATTCGACATTAATTGCTTTAATTAACTCATACTCCAATGTTTAAACAATTGTCGATGTTCGATTGGGGGTATTTTAGTTAAAACATTTGTATTCCCATTCAACTCCATGCCAGCGATCGGAACACGCATCAGCCCTTTTGATGGGCTCTTATCTGTGGGGATTGTCATGTACATTTGAAAAATGTAAGCAAATGTTGTAGGTCTTTATACGGGGACCAATATCGCATATCAATCCTAATAGCAGCTGCCGCGTTATCATTGAATCATGCCCCCGGGAATTTTATGTCAATATGTACGCATTTCTATTAGCCGACTATCAGGAGTTGTCCCAACCATTACCATTACCAGAGCCAGCCGCCCCCAAGCAAGTCAGTCGTTGGTTCATTTAGCCAAAAGCTTTTCATTTTCTTCCTTTTTTATTTTTCTTTCCCTCTTTGCTCTTTTGCTTTGACCTAGACATGTGTAAGCTCATGTGTGTGTGTGTGTGTGCATGTTACATAAGTATTTGCCCTCTGTTTGCAAAATACGCACATTTTTACCCAATTGACATTTTAGCTAAAAGTCTTTGCCATCAACGGCACGGAAGTGGTGGGCGGGATACAGACCGTAGCAGCCAAGACCGAGCCAAACAAAAAACATTCCCAGTTCTAGAACCAGTTCCGGTTCCTGTTCCTGTCCTGCTTCCCGCAGGCAAACGACCAACAAACAAAGGTGGCAGTCGCTGCTTCTATCTGCTCCTGTTTATGCTTGTATGTCCCAAGGTTCCCGTTCCCCTTTCAATCTCTATCACCCTTTCTTTTGCTCCATATATCTCGCTCTCTCTCTCTTCCACTCTCGGTTTTTCTGGCATTTCGCTAATGGTGTGTACGCTATAAAGCCGGCTAATGCCCATAGAACCCTTTCACTCTGACTCTGTCCCTTGGCCCTATAATTGCCGTCCTTCGTTTGGGCATGCGAAAAAATATAAGTAGTATTGAGCTCTCCCCCTGGTGCCTTTTGTAAAAGGCAACAATGGCCATGGAAAAGCAAAGGTCCTCAAAGGCTGTAGAGTAGTAGGAAAAAAAAGAAATAATAATAATAATTGAATGGAAAAAGTAACATTTTGTTGCATTTATGTAGCTGACTGATGGATGGCTGCATACTTAGGATCCCTGGCACGGAACCCCGGAGAGTGTTGTCATGGCCACTGATGTGACTGTTGCGATAATTGCGGGTTTTCCACAGGAAAACAACAATTGAAACGGTCGATTGTGGTGCTTTTTTTTGTGGCAAACAGCACCTTTATCATCATCATTTGTCGCGTTGATTTCAAAACTGAAGATTCTGAATATCGAACCTAAAATGTGTTTGGCTTATTTACATAATTATTATCAATCACTTTGCTAAATAGTTCTTTTTGATTAACCTAGTTGTTATTCTGCATCAATCTATAAAATAAAGAATCGATTTACCCATGTGAGCTATCCTCCCTTCTACTTCTTGTTTGCCCTCCTTGTCCCCTTTTCACTTAGCTATTGGAAAAACGTTCTTGAATAACTTTGATATCCATAGTCGGATCTAATCAAGTTTTCGAGAAAAACAATTTCCCAAATTTATTGATAATATTAAAACGAGCCAGCCTATCCACAAACTATGACAAAAAATATTTTAATTTCGTGTCTATCTTTTCTAGTTCCAAGACAGGCTAGGCTTTAAAGACTGATCGGAAATATATATGTATATATACTTTGTGCCGCAATGCTTCCTTCTGCTATATACATACATACTTTCATTTTATTCACATAGCCAATATAGCCTTTGCAATGGCTTTTAACCAACACTGGCCATAATGCTCTTCGTCTGGGATTCTAAACCTGATTCTTGTTGATAAGTCGCCAATAATCTTCTGTTCATTAGAATACTCTTTGCAAAATAAAAGCATCCAATTGCCAATCGATTCACAGAAAGGACATTCATGCGGAACAGACACAACATGCATAAAAAGATTAAACTGTTCTTCGTGTTTTTTTGGATTGGCATGCAGGTGTGTTCGTTTCTCATTTGCCTAAAACCTCTTTAAATATTGTGGACCATAGCCCCAAAGGCAATCAGAGAAACTCAATTACGAGGACTAGATGAGAAAGGAGCAGATGGGGTACCCAAGCTCCCAAGACCCAGGACCCAGGGCCAAGACGTAACGCAACAGTTAAATGGGTCATTTGGTCTATTTATCATTTTTGACTGGCTCCACGGGCCTGGTCTGAGCAGCAGCAGTTGGTCATTCAATTTGTGCGCTATAACTGGCAGCAATCAATCAAAATGCGAAAAGCACAAATAGACCAAATAGACCGGGCCAAAGTGGGCCAGAGCTGGGTCTCAACCCTTTTCGTGAACTACAATCTAAACACGTGAAATTGGGTAATCGTTTGTGCGTCTGAGTTGGACAACCCCCCCGAGTCTTTTGAAACCTATCGGGTTCGCTGCTCTGTGCTGGTCCCACTGCGAGTTGAAAGTCCTTAAATCGATACTTGGAAGACAAATGGTCCGATTTTCCAGCAGCAGCAGCTGCCCCCAGAGCCAACAAAATATATACATTTTGTAGCCAAATAAATAAATTTGCGTGTATACACGAGTATTTTAAATTGCTTGTTCTCTGTAATTCAATCAAAAATTGAAATTGAAACGTAAAAAAATACGCTTCCATCTGAAGCGAATTGTACTTGGCAGACATTATTTTAAATTAGTTGGACTTTCAACCAAGGCAAGACGATACTCTGTAAATACATTCATATTGATTAAACCGAGAAGAATATAAAAATAAAAGTTTTCATTTTGCAGAATTATTGTATCTAAGGCTTGGCCTCATTATTAATACACCGCATCACGCAGCAAACTTTCAGTTTGTGGCAAAGTTGATCGAATTTTACATCAGTGCTGACATCGAGACCCAAAACAATGGCACAAATTTATAAATAAGTTATGCAATTGTGAATTTTGAAGGGATTTCATCGATTTGCTGCAGAAGGAAGGCATAAACTTTGCTTGAGAACTGAAAAGGACTTTTATATCAGGATCAGGAAGGCGAATACGTGCAGCCTTTTGGCATTACATCTTCATTTATCTCAAGTGATTTACACTTTTGTGTTTTGTCCGCCAGCTCCTTGCCTTGTGTCCTGCTGTGCACATGAATAATGCATTGTCATTTAGCAACAGTCCGTAAGCTTCATTCTGAACATTATCATCGTCATCGTAGCTATCATCATCATTATTATCATCATGTGGTTCGCCACATCAACAACTGTTGTTTAAACCTATTGAATTACAAATTTATTCTCAAATTGTGTTGTTGCAACTGATGCGTACGTTTCCTGCCCCACGCCTTATCGCGATTTGCTTAATTTACGACAATGCCAAATGCAAAATGCAAACTTTAACAATTTTGCGAGTTAGCAGTTAAGGAATATAGAGAGCAGAAGCAACAATAAAATTATTTGAATTTATTCAAAGCCGAATTTAACTTTTTACTAAAAAGAAATATATAACGATATAAATATCGCATTATATAGCTGTCGGTTATTATGCTTCATCTGAATACATTTAAGCCCACATAAAGTCCTTAATCGTTCAATTTAATCATTAACAGATTGATATAATCCAAGAATAATAATTCTGATTTGAGACGACAGTTAAAAAGGGAAGTGCAGAGAGTCAGGAGAAGTCGGCAGAAAATGATGAAAATCAAAACGCAACTCAAAACCCTGCAATAGAAATTTTCAGATCTGTTCAGAAAAGCAATTACTGCTAATCTATGTCTAATAACCGGACAGCAGACCGCATGACAGGGCAAACAAATGAAATACCGTAACTAAACACAAGACGCAAAATGCTCATTCGTCAGCGTCAACTAGATACAAAATCGGGGAAGGAACTGCTCAAAAACGCAGCTCTCTAGGCCAGCAGACATTGCTAATTGCGCACTCGGACTAAGCACAATCTGATGAAGATTACAGGCTCACGCATCTATCGTGACAGCTACTACTTACCTGTTGGCAATTACGAGGGGGCGTGGCCCGCATAGCTGCCAAAAAGGAGCAGAAACTCGCTCTAAAGAATCCGTGTCAACTGGAGTCTGAGTTACCATAAAATATACATATGTGTGATGTGCTCAAAATAAAAATATTAAGTTGCTCACAATTGGTTTCTGTGACCACTTTATTTCATTTTTCTTTACTTTTACTCAAATTTCATTCCACCTCAATTTTTGTATATCCAAAATCTTTTCAATATCCATGCATTTGCTTACCGTAACAAAGCGTTAAAAACTCTAGATAATTATCATAAGTTTAGGATATTGTTAAAATCAATCTAACAAACCCACTTTTGATAATTTCAAATAGTAGAGTATTCTTCGTGTATATTCAGTTAATCAGTTGAAAATCTTATAAAGATCTGATGCAAATGTTTTCGCTGCCAGGGTCCAATGTCATTTGTTGGACGATGCAGATGAGGATTGCCACAAGTATTTACTTTCTGGACTGTTGATCATATGGCCAGCCAGATGAACCCTGAATATAGAGGCTTAGGCTATATAAAACAAGGCGCAATTTCAGATTCCAATTGAGAAATGAATGAACATTTCCATACAGATTTTATATTTATAGTTTTAACACTGGGTGTGTAGGCAAATATACTACTTATGTCGAAAAAACGAAAACAAAAAAAAATCATTTAGTTGTTGGCTAATTTTGGTCAAGTATTGGATGCACGAAAGGAAATTCCAACCGTTTTTAATGAATACATAGCAGAAAAGAAGCCTCCTTCTGTTGAAAATTTCAGTGTCAAGGATTAAGAATCAGTCGAAAGTAACTTGTCTATTTTACCGCCCCCTTCTTGTAGGAAGTACGACCTTCGACGCTCTTGTCATTTGGTACCGATTCCTTCTTCGGTTTCTTGGCACGTTTTGGGGCTTGTCGCTTGTCCCGTATAAAGGTATAAACGCCACAGGTGGCCGTCACAATCATGGCCAAAATGAGAGCAAGGCCAATGCGCACTAGCCATGTGGCATGCTCATAGTCCGTATCCAGCCAGGTTGTGTGGTAAACCTTATCAATGGCACGAATGTATTGTATATAGGCTTGTATAAGTACACCATTTGGATGCTGCCAGAAGGGCATTGGCTCTGTTTCCTGCCATTTTGTTAGCGCCAGCTCCTTGAGCTCATCAACGGTCTGAGCCAACGGCAGCTTTCGGAATACACCATCTTTCACATGCAAAATGGTGGGCAGATCTTGCAGCGAGAATCGCCTGATCACCGTCTCCGAATACTCCAGTTTCATGCTGGCGACAATCATTTCGCTCTTCTCCAGATGCTTCTCATGTGCGAACTTGCTCCATACGCGATTAAATTTTATGCAGGCCATGATCAGCGGCACACAGAAGCCGATCATCCACTCGCCCTGCAGCATCAGCTCCCACGAGCTCTCATCCAATATAAATTGTTCATTATTTGGATTCTCGTTCGTTAGGCACTGCTGCAGTTCGCTGCCAACGCCGCACGCCAAGAGTAGCGCAGCGCACCAAAAGTATGACCAGATTTTCATAATATTTAATATTATAGTTTTTTGTTTTCAAAAAAAAAAAAAGCTAAATAAATATATACACAATAAATATGGCAGCTCTCACGTTTTGCTAGAAGCTGTGAAAGAGAAGCAAAGCTAAGTCGTTTAGCAAGGCCTCCTGATTACAGAAAGATCTTGTTAACCAACCGAAAAACATTTATCATAAAAATGTAAAATTCCATGCCTATGCCTATCCATCAAAGCTGTTGCTATAAAATTTGCCAGTTCAACAGCAGCTTTCGAAATTGAAGGGCTTAGCTTTTAGATAGACGCGTTCATAGACAGACGGACACACTACATCGACTAGGCTATTAATTATGACAGAATATATATAGTTGGTGAGGTCGGAAATGCCTCCTTCTTCTCGTCACATACGTTTCAATAAAATACACAAAACAAACAGAATCAGATCGCGCGAGTGAACAGCTTAATAAGATGGCAAGGACTCTCACCTTGAAAACAGTTTTATTCAACTGTTAAGAGGCTTAACATGTAAATTTGGAATTGGATAAACGTCGCAGCACAGAATTTACCGATTGCAAAAATAAGAAACGAATACAAGGAAAGAGGATTGAAACTAGTATTGCGATCCAAATGAAGAACAGAAAGTTCTATCAATAACTGCAAGGTCTTAGGCACGCATGGCAAACTAATTGGAGAGCCAACGACTGTTTGGCACGCAAGCAAAGGCAGGAACACACCTGAGGCCAGGTAGCGCGAGCGAGAGATATCTGGCAATAGATAGACCTATGTCAACTGCAACCAGCCACTGACCCTAGCCGAAGACCTGCGGACCAGGGGCTGCCGCATTGTAGTTTGAGCAAGGTTTGTGGTGCTGTTCCCGACTGCATTGTCAGTGTTATGATGGATTTTCTGCACATGCCAGTGGCTCGGCTGCAATTTGGACTCATCTTGTGTTTGATGCCCTTCTCAGTTTCCCACGCTGCAAGAAGCGCGCTAAACCTGCAGCCATCACCTGTGTCCTTTTATGTTTAGCCCTTAGGGGTTGATTCAATTTTCCGATTGTCCGTGACCATTTTGAGCGCTTATAGCACCCGTCTAATGGCAGACCCGAAAAAATAAAGGTTCCCAGGCTTCCCGCACAGCAATTGGCGCGCGCTTTAATCCCCCTCCCGCTCCAGCCAGTTGATCCCTCTGTCTCTTTTCGGGATTCCAATAATGCTGCAGTCGACAGCCGAGAAATCGAGAACAAATATGTTTTGCTAATTTATGGCCAGACATTCATATTTCATATTTGCTGTCCTAAGTGCTACTCATGCGCCTGGCAAGTGCTGAAGTTGGCCAGGATTATATTCAAGCAGATCGGAGAGATCCTATTACAATAATTTGTTTGTATATTTTCATTCTGGGTAATAGCGTAAGCAATATATATGATAAAAAAAAGACAGTAAGATACTTCGCAGTGATGTGGTATATTTTTAAGTATATTCATTATAAAGTTTTGCCACCCTTTTGCAATACCTAGGATTCACATATACCTGTTACCTCAGAATGTTGTGATCCTTGTTGGAAAATGTGATATAACCCGTAACAGAGTTCTTTTCATGTCTGAGTCCCATTCGTCGGCCAATCGATTCACAAAAACTCTGCCAGAATTTGATGGAGAAGCGCAAATACCAGCGCCACCAATTAAATATCACGTTGTCTATTAATGGCCAGTCGGCGTAGCCCTAGATCGCCGACTGGTTGATACCCTGTACCCAGAACCCAACTGCCATAACAAACATTCAAGCTTTCTGTATTTAAAAGAAACCAAATCAAAAATATATTTTTGAAGAAGAAACGGGGTATTGTCGTAAAATGAAATTTACTTAATATTTTCCTTTGTATTTGAGGATCTGCATTATATCAATAGATCGCTATAAGTAAAATAGAAGACCAGACTGATGGACACCTACTAGATTACATTTTTATCTAAAGTGCAAGAGAGCTTAGTGTGCCCTTACGAGGCCCTGGTTAGGATTCATTCTGCTGATCTTCCCACTCGATCCATATAAATTTCATTGCGACGCAATACATTTATTTAAAACAATTTACATTTATTATTGAATCTAATTAAATAAATTACAATAGCATTTTGTTTAAAGTATTTTGTTTTAGTAAAAAGGTTGTATTCTTGAAACTTTTCCCAAACACTAAATAAAAAATTGCGAATAATAGATGGTGATGTTAATGGTAATGAAGAATATACAAAACTTATTAAAAAAAAACATTATACCCTTCTGTTGCGACCATTTTTAATGGGTATTGAATATAATAACGCCAGCCATCCATTAGTGGCGAAAATTATATTCACTACCGAAAAAAAAAGCAAAAATATTTGACACGTGAGAATGGCAAATAACATTATTCCAGATAGACATGCGGCAGCGCGTATTTTGGTTTCGTTTTAATTAAAGCGGAACACAGAGCCACGCACAGCCCACCATGAACCAAAGGCCACCCAAACGGCAACCGCAGTGCAGTGGAAACGTATGGCTAATTGCAAATCACATTCATCAATTGAATGTCCCAGACCAGCATAGTTTCAAGGACCTGCCTACCATTCGGGCCAGCCTACCTCACAACGTGGCCGGCATCGGCATAGTCGCCATTCCGGAGACGGTAAACAAAGTGGCGGACCGCCTCAAAATGGACAGCAAATATGAAATGAATGTGCAAAGGGTACACATTTTAAACTATGCATGTTGTTTATGTTTAACGCATACAATTAGATTAAATAATTGAATTCGATTTAATTATTTAATTCTGGTGAGGTGATGATCATGTTACATTTTAAAGAAGGAGAAACTTGTGCCAGGCGATGATGGTATAAATACAATGGCATTAAAGCTACTACCTCAAAGAAGTATCTCCTTTATTACCAAAATATATAGCAGATGCATGGAAATCGGTTACTTTCCAGCGCAATGGATAAATACGCTTACTGCCAATGCTCACCAAGATACTCGAAAGAGCATTTCAGTGTAGAGTGTTGCCAGTAATAGACGATGCTAGTCTCTCTGGCGCGAATAACCAGTTTGGCTTCAGGCGCTGTCATGAATCCGGAACACTGCCACAGAGTAGTAGAACGCATCCAAATACATTCAAGGCCGAGTACTGACGGAATCATAATTCCAGAAGAACCCACGCCAAAACATCTGTTAAAAAAGCGAAACCATAGTGAGGAGCGACTAAAAGCATATTACTGGCTTATAAATAAACAAATAAAATGGAAAGGATATGACAAAAATTAAAATCTTATGTGGCAACATATTCGGGATATTTGTATTTATTATTAAGGTACTATATATATATTATCTGAATATTAATCTCCCTAACTAATTGTAATCAAGACATTTATATAAGCTGATTAGGTATAGCTAATTAGAAAATATATGAAAAGAAGTAAGAGAAGAAGTTAGAGTACTCTAGTCGGGGGTTTCTGACTTACTCATAAAGTCCAAGTTCTGGAGTCTTCGATTTCACAGTAACGAGGCACTTTACTGATGATTAGAAACAAATTCTTACTGCGGGTGATCCAGATGGGCGTTCTTTGAAAAAACAGACAAACAAGGCCAAATCGACTAAGCATATTGTCTTGATCATGAACATATATACTTTATTTGAGCGGTCATACCTCCTGTAACATACATTTACATAAAAGCAATACACCGTTATTATCAAATACATAACAAAAACGAGAAAGAAAGGCTATCTTCGGCACGCCGAGATCTAATACCCTTGCAGACCCAACCTTTTCATAATGCTTATAGTGCTTTGCCCGTATCTAAGAAGCACCGGGAAAATAGTTATTGCCGAGCTTGGTCAAGATATCTTGATAAAAAAAAAAAGGTTTTTAATCAAAAACCTAGTTTTCGACCGATCCGGTCCGGTGTAAATACGATTTTGCCAAAATGAAGCATAGTGAAATCTTTTAATGCCGTGTTTAATCAAAATATCTTGAATTACAAAACGTTTTCCATACAACAACTTAATTTTCGACCGATCGTTCCAATGGCAGCTATAAGATATAGTGTACCGATCCAGCTGATTTTGACATATCTGCTGCGTGCAACTGAAAGAGGGACTTCTGCAAAGTTTCATAAAGATGAATTTAAAACTGAGGGACAACGTCGGATAGAAACAGGCAGACGGACATGGCTCTATCGACTCGGCTGTTGATGCTGATCAAGAATATGTATACTTTATGGGGTCGGAGATGTGTCCTTCTATGCGATACACATTTTACGGCAAAATTATAATACCTCTGCAAGGGTATAAAATAAAATATAACACGAGTTTATTATATAACTTATTTTCCTTGCATGAAATCTTTCAAAAATGTTTGTTTAACTAGGGACCGTGTTGCTCAAGTAGCCATATCTAATTCGAATTAGGCTACGTCCAATTATACCAGTCTCTGGCCTTATAAATTGTTTTCACACTAGTTTATTCATGTTACTGTGACATACTTCTAGAAATGAAAGTTCCTTGTGCAATATTACTCCTTGTAATTGTAACGAAGTTACAATTACGACGAAGAACAGTCGAAGGGCACAGAAATAAAATGAAAAATCATAATTTACCAGATGACCACCAACAGCATCATCCAAGTCGTCATCATGGGCACAATCAGCTTGAAAGAAATTATTAAAGAAACATCTATTTAAAAGAAGAAATGATGCCATGCAAAACGTCGAACATAGGGCGTGGCCCTTGGTCATATACATAGGTGTAACATTATTTCCAATAATCATTGATTTCTTTAAACCCTCGTCAAGACCACCGCCAAGTCCATCGCCACCCAGACCCCCACCACCGAGGCCAACGACAAGGCCGACGACAACGAAACCGACAGTACCAACAAAGTCGACAACGGAATTCGATAGGTTTGTATATATATCTATAAAAAAGCAGTCTCTATTGTAGGATCAAGCCTCTTGAAAATGTGTAAAAGGCTATAAACGTGGTTACTTGTTTTCTATTGAAAGATATATGCATGTTCGAACTTTGTAT